GTAAAATTGAATAAAATAAAACAGAAAATAACAAAAATTGCCTTTGTTCGTTGTGAAGTAAATAAATAACGGTAATTTTTATCAAAAGTAGTTAAACGAAGTTCGTAGAAGAATTAAAGCTTGATACATCGAGAAATGTCCTGTTTATCTTCGCAAGCTCGTCGCAGGAAATCGCGTAAAACATAGTAATTAGTTTAGTGTGGTAATTAACGTTCCTCCACAATAATTTGCATCCACCCTATATATTCGCAGCAATCGAGATTAGCGAGACTAATGACCTTTCTCTGCTTTTAACGACGCACAAAAAATTTCGTCCGCCTGCGTTTTTTGTTTTGTTAGTAAGCATCAATTTATAATCGCACATTTTTCTCGCTCGTTAAATGAACGAAAAACTCGGGAATGTCATAATACAAAAGTAAAAGATTCAAAGAAAATTTCTGTTCGTCAAAAACACTATTCAATGCTGCAAATAGACATCCTAACCGACCTAACCTCGTTGAAGGGAGAAATGAAAGCGTAATGGGAGAAAGGAACAAAGAATCATTCTTTAGATATTGATTTTTCTTCGGACAATCGAGAAGTCGAATGCGTTTGCGGAATGAATCGTGAAAATGAACAACCCTTCAGAAATTTCGGAACCATTAAGCACAAAACTTCTGTTTTAAGACAAAAGACAGATGAACTATTATATATAATTTAATATACATGAAAGGTGTTTCCTACAAAAGTCACGCATCTTCTTCGAACTGTAGATAGTAGAAACCAAAAAAATTGTCATTACTGTAATGGTAGGCAATTAAAGATTAAAAGATTGAAGGTAATTAACATCTTCAATAGACTATTGTTCTACGCGGCTAATTCCCGATAGATTTTAAGTAATCAATTTGAAATAATTATAAGAAATTTAGAAGAAAAAATAAACAGAGTCAACATTGATTTCGTTGAACAATCAACGAAATCTGTTGGGTATATTATAAATTCTGTATACATTATCTTCGAGCACTTAAGATTTAAAAATAATCAGAGAAACTCATTAGCTCCTTTTTGCTAAATTGCATCAATTAATTATAATCAAGCATGCCCATAGTAGAACTAATAACGTCGGTGACCTTAATGGAGAAGCGATTGCTCTTCAAGGACATTCCAAGCAACCGCACACCGAGACTTCGCGTGCGCTTCGTTATATACGATAATGTTGGTCAACGAACCCTCCTCGCGCGATAACGGTGGATCAATTGAAATGCACCCCTCGCGCGCGCTATCCCAGACCGGCCATTACTACGATGCAAGGGGCACTCCATTTTCTTGCTCAAAACATGTTTCTCGGATACAGGATCTCCTTCGAGTTGAAGTACTCGGGAATATATAAGCTTTTCGATACGCGCAATCTGAGATGACGCGAGATGACGCAAACAATTCTAGCAAGATTTTATGTCGCATCCATCATGCATTATGATTGTATTACGGAAAAACAACTGAATTATTTTCCACAAATATCTCTCGCAGCTGTTTATGAAAAGAATGATGCAATCTTTCGGAAGAAAATTCGGATAAAAAATTTCGAAAATTATTGAAAATCAAAATAGAATTTTTATTATTTGAGAAATTATTTATCGAAAATTTACTTAATTGTTTATTTAATTGAAAAACTTAATCATTTAATATTTTCTAGTAAATGATATTTTCGATACGTCTATCCTATCTGAAGTGAAATTGGAAAGATATGACGAGAATCGAAAGCTTGTGACTTGACCAGCCGTAATACCAGATGGCAAACAACGTTACTACGCTACAATCTACGCGACTATTTCACGGGGTGAGTTTTATCTTTTAGTGCAGCGTGCATACAGATAAAAATTTCACGATGCGATCGTCAGCGTCCCACTCGTGGGAAGATAGAAATGCGATAATATACTCGTCATATCGTTCGCGCTGTCATCGACGTCGCGACAAATAAAATGTTATGATCGCTGTATCGATTAATAAACGAACTCGTGTCGTGCGTTGCAGTCATCGCATGGATGCTGGACGCTAATCCTGAGATATTGCGTATAACGGATCAACACAAAGAAAGCGGATTCTCAGAATCTATTGTTCGACTTAAATAGCAAGCACACTAAAACTTCTGAATCTTGGCGTAATAAAAAATGAGGGGAGGTTTAATTAAAAATTTTTAGATAGTTACACCTTTAATAATTAGTTGTAAATAGGTTATCATATTAAATATAATTATGGAGTTAGGGATACTATAAGTGTAAATATTATAATAAATCATAAGAATTCAATCTAAATTTTTAACAGGAAAAACACAATTAAAGTTGGAGATATATGAGAAATGATAATTTACGATTATCAAATATAATTCATATAAACAATTTTTCATCGATAGTCAATATCTTCTGACATTTTTGCAATCTTTTTAACACATAAAATTATCCTTATTGCTTCAAATGTACGTCATTTTGCCATATACATAATAATTATGCTGCAATGCAGTCATATAATAAGATATAAAACAGACGCACGTGGAAAGAATTATGTAGAAACACACGGATTACACAAGACGGGGGACTCTAATCTTTTGACTATACTATTCTAACGAGGACCTCGTAGCGTCGAATATATGTATAGAGCCAATCAACAACTTGGTCATTATATGTCACTTTTCCCTGTAGGGAACGGCATTTTATATATATGAGAGAATTTTTTAATCACGTCAATCACAAATACTAGAAATTAAACTCAGGAAAATAATATTATTTCAATATGCATTAATGATGTCAGAACCAGAAAAGTTTTTGGAATAATAAAATAAAATTTTTTAAAGAATTAATTTCTAATTCGAAAAAAGTGACTTCTGCCACAACTTAAGTGTGTAATTTATGCCAAATTTCATAATTTGTTATTCTTATGCATTAAAAATCGCGAAATCATGTAAATCGTGAAATTTACATGATAATAATAACGATTAGATTGACTTAATAAATTAGTAAAAATTACCAAAATACAGTTTCTATTTGTCTAAAACTTTTCTAATATATTGCGTCAAATTTCATAAGAAAACTATCAATTTTTCTCGCGATCTTATCTCAAGAATAAAAGACATCTATAAATCGCACCGAATTTTCTATTCGCAGTTTTGCAGCATTCGATTCGTGACAAGATGTATTATATAGCAAGATACATATCGTAAACGCAAAGCAAATGCATCATTCAAAGGTCACCAGCGACGACTTCGTTGTATAAATCGTAAATCATATGGTGGACATTTGTTTCTGATATCCCGATAGATTTAACTTTTTACGAACTTCGCGAAGCAAAACGACAACGCGCAATCTTCGCTAAAACATGCGGAAGAAATTGCAGTAACGTCTTGAGCAATAAGAAAATAAGAGACAAGTATCCCCCAGTATCGGTCATAAACAATATATAAAAGAATTTATCCTAAGTTACTAGAATTAATAATATTGGAGAAAATATTTGATACATTTGATTTTAATATTCTTCAAAAACTTGTTTATTTTTGCTTTTAAACTTGTTATTTATTATTTTCTTAAATATGTTTCAAATAAAATTTGCAAATAAGTAGTTTTTAAAATAAAATAATATCATTGTGTTTAATGTCATTTAATGTAGTAAAAAAAGCAATATCTTATATAATATATATAACTTATATATAAAAATTACAAATTATTTTAATATTCCGCGAGGGATCCTCAAAAATATGATGACGACACTGAGCAAGAAGGAGCATTTACTTAAGTATATTCGTCGACGAGAAAGTCGCTAAATCATAAAGACGCTTTTCATCGCGAATGAAATGTCCGCGAGACTGAAAAAACGCCGGCGTCTAAACGTCGTGCTCTAAATCAAACGCATGTCACGCGTCTAAGCGTCCTAAGAAAAATAGGGGAGAAACACAGCGGCATTCCCCTAACTACAGACTCGGCATGAAGGGATGAGTACTAACATCTACGATTTCACGAGTCCTCCTGTTTACGGGAAGCAAGTGGGAAACTGAGTGAGCCTAGCGCCAAATCGATGTTCTAACTGAATTAGGAGAAAGGTGAATAATGTAACCTATCGCAGATGAGGCAGAATACGATCAATACGAAACACAATTGTATGTACTTTAAAAAATTGATATAAAAGACAAAAATATATATATATAAATAAATGTAATACATTTAATAAAATAGTGATAATTATCACGAACTGTAATAGTACAACGTATTTAAAAAATATATATTCTTTTACGGAATATTTATGTCCAATATTTTTTAAATATATATTCTTGCCTTCATAAATTTGTAACAAGTTTATATTTTGCTGCACTTCTTATTCAAATAATTGATTGTAAATAATTAGTAATTTTTTAGATAATTGTAAAATATTCATCATGTTTTTAACTATAGCTATTCTTATCTTCGAATATTTATCAATATAAGAGATTTAACTATTTTTATATAGTATATTTTTCGTATTGTGTTATCATTATATAAAAAATTGTTCATTACTTCATAAAATTTTTTCTTGAAAATACTGCTTATAAAATTTAACTTTTAATTCATTATTTTGTCAATTTTTATTTCAATTTTTCTTTAATTTAATTTACATTCGACTATTAAATTTCTTTAAATCAAATTTCTTAAAACATTTTCGCTGCAGATCGAACTATTTCTGCTTCAAATCAAAGTGGCTCGAATGCACTCGCACTTCGTGAAACCGTTCATCGAAATCGTTATTGCGTACCGAGGGTACCGAGGCAGTAATAATCGAAATACGAGCGTATAGTCCTGAGTCTACGAACGACGTGCAAAAGAGAAGTCGCACCTATTCCCAGTGCGGCCATAGGGGATTCCCTCGACATTGTCGCTCCGCGTCACCCCGCACCGCTTCAGCAGCCCCATCGGGTTCCTCGGGGGCGCGTGCGCACGAGTGGAAAATTGTGTCTGATAACGGCGGGTGTCCCAACGTCGTTTTAGTATTGGCCGCAACGCCGTAACGTCGCGACGTCTGGATACCGCCTCTTTTCCCTTTACGATATTTACGTCTACAACGAAAACCGTCAAAACGCGATATCGAAAAATGAGACACCGATTTGACGCGGTAAAAAACCATTTCAACCTTCCGAGATCAGCGCCGCTCCGCATTGTTCCGGTTGTCGCACGGCTACAGCCGGAAGTATAGCGGATTTCGCGAGGAGGTATGATTGTGTGCGTCGGCTTAACAATAATCGGCATTGTTTTCATTAACGATATCATTAGCACTTTTCCGTTAACTTCGGTGCAGAAAGCATGCAGGGGTAGCATACATTTTTATAAACGCGCAAAAATCACCGATATTCAGGGTGTACCATAAACAAATTTATTTTAAGATCTGACAGTACCGATTACTTGGAGCAAAGATATTTATCTAGAATAAATAATTAAGAATTTTACGAAGTACGTTGATTTAAAACGGAACGGAAATAATTAACAGTGTTAATTATTCAACAAGACTCGAAATGTCAATCTAATGTACAATAAGATTTCACAAACAATAACGTTTTATTTTCTCTTTAATTCAGAATTTACAGTAAGTGCTCGAAATCGTACACGGATTTATACCTTTTGTTTCGTTTTCCAAAACGATCGCCATTACTATTTTCCAAAATATTGACATTCCTTGGCGGGACACCCTGTACATCTCTGCACCAAAGAGAACTTCATTGTTTCGCGAAAATCAATCGCGGTTGTTCTATCATTGTTCACTTTCTATACCGCATTTTGCTTTGCAACGAAATATTACAATTACTTGAAAATTATTTGACGAATCATGCTTTATTACGCCAATTATAATTTTAATTTCTTTCACTTGACAGGAAGACGAATGTAACGGACGCAGCGGTGCATTTTGGCGAGAGAATAACTTCGCCGAATCAGTGCAATTTCAAGCCGCAGTGACTACGATGTCAAAGTGATTTTTGCAATTGATCGAACGAAAGACGTGTGTCATCCATCATGAAGAAACTTGGACTGCAGTTCGTGACTTTACTGTTATCCTCGTTGATAATAAGGATATCAGTGGTTTCAGGTACGTCCTAAAGAATTTTGCAAACATTTTTAAGACAGATTTCATCTGTGCATCCTGTAACGCAAACATCATCTTTCACTATGACAAATTGAAGTAATTTTGCATTCGCAACGATAAGTTTAGATCGCAAGCAGAAAGTTTCAAGATTATTTTATATTTACACAATAATCTTTTTTGCCACATATGTATAGTTTCTGAACTATATTTGTCCGACAAAAATAATAATCGTACTCGTAAATATACACGGTATAATAGAGTCTCGCGCTGCGCGTGTACTTGGCGCGAAACACTACCATGTCTCTTAATTATTTCTCAGTTTCGGGAAACTTCTTCTTTCATTTATAATTTATAATTTATTAAGTAACAAAAGATAATAAAGTGTAATAATTTCGTATAAAATTTATAAGAACATCAAAAATACATTATTTCTGGTTATTTGTGGTTTAATATCGTAACCAATAAATCCAATATAACAAGAATCCCAGGCTGTTGACCGCCTCATATTGATATATTTTTTAGCTAGATACCGTAAAATAGCGATAATAATATAATTTTTAAAACAATAATAACAGACAATAGAATACAAGCGATCTTTTATAGTACGAGTAGTTGTAACCGAATCTTAAGTCGCGCCAGATCCATGATTAATTAATTAACTCGCGTCATTGTATGCTAAATTGCTATGTCTTATTTGCAATCCTATGTCGAAACACCGTCACGCAATATTTGTTGGCTAAAACGGCTGGCGATGAGTGACGCATCAAAATTAATAAGCAGACGCGCCGTTATCGAATCTCGTTAAGTATAACATAGCCATTAAACGTTAACAGATATGCCAAAACTTTCCGCGTTTAATTTTTTTATAGAAACGATCCGCCCAAAATCCCGTCATTAAATTCTTCACAATAAACGTCTAACGAGAGAATTTATTTAGGCGTAATTACAGCAATTTCAACTTTACAGAACCAATCTCTGTTCAATTATATCGCGGTCTCAGAATAATACAATCAAAAATCAGAATTCTCAGGGTTAATGGCAATTATGTCGTATAAAGGGAAGCTCTAGATGACAACCTAGTTGACCTAAGATCATCCTATATTAGACCAATCCCTAATTGGAGAGCGGAAAATGGGAGGGTGGCTATGAGATTAACCTTTGCACTTGGAACATAATTCTCCGTGTGGCAGATGCGCCGCGTTTTCCTAATGCATCGATGCTGCCGTGCTCATCCAATTATCCCCGGCTCGCGGCTCGTTGGTAAACGTCAGTGATGAAAGCAAAAGGTTTTATTCTGCAACCCCGTTGTTGTAATATCATGTTCTAAAATATCGTGGCGACCTAACGATCTGATAACATTATAATGTTACCATTATTAAATTGTAATTATAATATTATAATGTTGCGCTATCGCGAGATATGATAGTTATAACATTGTAATTGTACAATGTAAACTACAAGATGATAATATTGCACTGATGTTTTCAGCGATGCGCAATGCCGAGCTCGCATTTAGTTGTAAGCTTAACAAGTCGCTGTTAAATTGCCATCTCTTTGCAACACCGGGAACACATCGCTCCAAGCGACTCGCTCTAATTCAATTCTTACGCTGTACGCGTTTGTGGAATATAATATTCTATGTAATTCCCAGGAAGCGGCATGTCACAAGACAATGCGCGAATTTCATTAACGCGCGGGAGACGGTAGGCGCTCGTAAACGCCACAAGTTGCAGACAGGCCTCGTCCGTCGGTCTTTGCTCGATTTCTCACGCACGCCTGCAGGACTATCGATTTCGCGTACAGAGCCGCGCGAGCGCGAAAAAGGGTCTCGGGCAAGGGTGCATTGATAGGGGCTAACGATAACGCGTTCGCAGAACGCAGCTCCAGGTGCACCGGCAGGGTCGTTTCGCCCTTCAGGTGCTATAAGTCACGTTAAGCACGGTAACTAAAATCTACGAAACTATTCGAGGTCTAAAAAAATTACTAATTAAAATCCACAAAAAAACTACAAAGTTGAATTCAATAAATAAAATTAATAAAATTAAGTCTGTTATTAATTAATAAGAGAAAACAAGATCGCTATGATATACAATCAAATAAGAATACAAGCCATTTTCGGTCTAAGCTTAGATCTTAGGCAGCTCAATATTAATTTCTATGTATATGTATTATTTATAATTATACATATACATATATATTCCAACTTTTTAAACTGCGCGCCAATCACGGTCGGACTTGAAACACAGTTGTTGGTTGGGACAATAAATCCTTCCCTCCCTGTGATTAAATCAATTTAATTTAATTATCTAAAAACTGCAAAGAATTTATTGCAAAAAATATTACCTCAGCCAGGATTCAAACCTGGAACCTCCCACATTCCGTGAAGGTATTTTTCGCAATAAATTCTTTGCAGTTTTTAGATAATTAAATTAAATTGATTTAATCACGGGAAGGGAGGGATTTATTGTAGGGATTTTCTATGATTATATATATATATATATACACAACTTGTAAAATTGCTAATAATCTTAACTATTTCATCAGGCATTATGTCATTAGTATTATGCCATTCAAATATGTTTAAATATTACTTTTTCATATTGATATATTTTCATATTCAAAAGCGCTATTATGTCGCTATGAAAATCTTTGTAGACTCTTTCTTTTGTGCAGTTTTCTGTTTGATATGAAACAGAGTAACGTTTTACAAAGCCTGCTGAAGTGCCGACGGCGATTGAGCCTGAGGACATCGAGGCAAAAGTCACGAACAACATTACCTCTTTGAACGATTTCGTAACAATGCTACGTAAAAGTTGACATTTGTATTTGATCATGCAACGATCACGGTGTCGCGTGCCGACCGCGTATTCTCACGTGCACGGCTCCGATGAACCGCGAGAATCGATACCGGCCTTCCGCATACAACTGTATTTTTTGCCAACCATTCAGGTTGATACGTCACGCGTGACAAGATCGAGTCGTGCGACAGTTCTCCGTATGGCCTATCGCAATTATAATCTCTGAAGGGCAATCCTTTTTCAAGTGTAGTCTTGGCATAATTCCAAAAATAAATCAAATAAAAGGTATATTTGTATATTCCAACCCTGTAACATATACTTCGAATCTCTAAAAAAATACCAAATAGTAAATATCTCTTAAAATTTTTTTTAAAAACGGGATTTATATTTCCAAAAAAATATAGATCAAACTATATTATTTTAACTTTCTATTATTTGTAAAAATTATACCTGCTCTAAAATATTAGAAAAATATTGTTTAAGCAATAAAAAGGGTTTACCGTGCCACTAAAAGCCATGTAGGATACCTATAGGCTCGGTTCCACCCACGTCACTTAACTTTAACCTTAGCTTAACTCACTCTTCGTCTTTTTCTAACTGTCCCCCTTAGAAAGAGACGAATAAGATTGAGTTAAGCTAAGGTTAAAGTTAAGTAACGTTGTTGGTAGAACCGGGCCTTTTTTAAGTCTTGTGTCTACAATGCTAGAAAACGCTCCGAGATCTCGGACGGAGAAAGAATTAACCGAAGAATTAACCAACCGCATTGGTCAATTGCTGCATTGTTTAAACATGATTGGTCGATTTTTTCTCCGTCCGAGATCTTGGAACGATTTCTAGTATTGTGGACACAAGGCTTTAGAGTCAGAAATATTCTCTGGGAAGTTGACGTCATAGTTTAAAGTTCAAAGCAATTAAACATCTCTCCATTGTCCATTAGCTGCATTGTATACACAACTATAAAAAAAGCTCGATTGCTCACGACTGTATATATGAAAGGGAGCATTCTTTTTTTAATCAAGTTTAATTTTCAAGAAACTTGCGTAGCTGCAGGTTGCAGACCCTGTTTGATACTATCGTACTATATCAAGGGGATCCGACGATGTTTGGTATCGACGGTTTCCCGCAGATGCGGCTTTTTTGCTTCTTTTCTTGCCGTGGCCCCGACGCATTAACGCAGAGTGTAGAGGGAGGATACGACGAGAGTGAACGCGGCGGGGTTGGTCCCACCCCACGCAGCCCACGACGCTGTGCAGAATTCTAGCATGGCAAGACTGCGCCGGTTTATTGCTCGCGTCACGCTATCGCATTCGCCGTCCGGCCAAGCAGTACGAAATTTGGCATCGATTTCGTCGAAGAAAGTCGCGTCGCGGGCTTCATTGACATTGAATGCACCATTCAATGGCGAGCCGCGACCTTGGCTGCGTTTCCGCGGCCGGCGTTTTCGCATCGAGGTCACCATCGCGAAAAACTATAATTCACTTCTTCTAACCGGCGACCGTCCCCGTTACTTTCGTCCCGAATATAATGGACGTTCTAACTAAAATAACGAAAGTTTATGAAGCGACAAGTCAGAATTCTCGACGAGACACCGCGTCATTTTCAAAAATTAATTATAAGAACAAGACTCATGCGAATGTGTAATTTAGCAAAGCAACCACACGCGATCGAAATACATTGGACAGGCAGGAAGCTAAATGCGCGAGGGCTAATGATGTTCCGCGGAGATAGGTGAAGAAGCGTGCATTTTTTAACGCCAAGCGCACGAGTTAGTATATCGGGTGCAATTTGTAATGGCGAACTAACGAAATGCCACGAATAAGAAAAGTGTAAAATATGCAGCGCTCGACACGTATACGCACACGCAAATATGAAACCTAACACGGCGTGATACAGGGCCACGAAATATACGGACAAGCGGATAAGCATACAGTTTCCGACGCAAAAAGATAGGCGCAGCAGAGTTTGGTTGAGATAAGTTATCGCGCGCGATGGGATAACGCGAAAGGAGATATTAGCATTTCGCACGTATATTTCGGCCAAAAATAGAGAGCGGCGTAATTTCGGTGCGATATATTTTTCGGCGATTCTGGTTTCTGTGAACTTTTCAAGAAACGTGACACACGCGATATATATTCGCATGTCGAAACTAGAACGCTAGATCGTGGCCGCGGTCCTGTCGTACAATAGCGTCCACTGTTGACGGGA